TGATTGCCGTCAAGGGGGCACAAGTACTCCTGTTCTTTTTGCGGATACAGACTAACACGGCTGCTACTCGGAAACCTGTCACTGTAGTTATAAGACCCCAGCAGCAGGAACAAAATGCCACCCTTGATGCACTGTTCATTTTTCTCTCCCATCCCTGTGCCTTTTTTCCATGTTGTCCCTATATACAGAATCCTCGTTAGCAATATTGCCAACCCTAAAAGTTCAACAATCGTGAGTCAGGCCCTAGAAATCGTGAGATTTTTTAATCTAATTTTTTGGTCCGTCTTTTGATTTTTTGAACTCCCCCTACCCACCCCGAATGTGTGTGTGGTAGTTACAGTGTTGCTAGCTCTCCAAAATGTATGGAGTAAGGTGATTTCGGCCCCTGCGGCAGGTTTTCTAATGGGAGGACCCATCTGTGATCAAATGACAATGATCTGTATAAAATGCTGGGGCAGAGCTTTCAGCTTCACCCCAAAGCCCAAAATTCTAATGAATTAATTCTGTGTCATCCCTGCTCCCCAAACCCCATATCTGCCTGACCCAGCAATTATGCACTCTCCCCACCCCACATCATTTCTGCCCTCCCCATCTCTCTCTCCCCCAGCCCATTAATTAAATATCCACCCCTCCCAGCAACTCCTTACCCCTCAGTGCACCTCTGCTCCTCCAGGTGTTCTTCAGTCCTCTCTTCCAGGCTTGGTAGGGGGGACAACTGCAGGGGTTACTCACTCCCTCTCCCCTTTCCCGGGTCTGGTGTTGCAATGATGGGGATAGGGAAGAGCAGAGAACGGATTGGACCACTCCACCTCCTGGATTCTGCTGTGGAGCAGTTCTCTGCTAATCTACTCTGTCCAGCTGGAGCAAGGAGTGGGCTAGCATCTCCAATATTTCTCTCTCTATTTTTTGTAGTTTCCTTCCCAGAGAAGAGCTTGAGTGCCTGCCTCTTGTGCTGCTCAGGGCAATCTCAACCAGCAGCAGAATGAAACTAACATGATTCTTGTTATTTTTACAGCTGCCCACAGGATTCCAACTCCACACCATGGACCTGGTTCTCACCTTGTTTATTTCTTTGATTTTTTTACACTTCAGATATTACACTGACACAAATGTAAATTAGGGGTAATTCCATTGGAGTCATACAGGGGAGCATAGATAACAGGGGTAAGTGCAATCAGAATCAAGCCTCGGGAGTCCAAACATCACAAGATTTATTTTATTAGATATATGTGTGAAGGAGTGTACTGCCTGTCCCACCCGCTTAAGTGGCAGATTGGGTTGTAATCAAGGAATCCCTGCCCCACCCTAGGGCTAGGCTGTATAAACAGAAAGAAGACACTAGCTGAGTAAGAGAGAGGGGAGTAGAAACCATGCAGTTGTTTCCTCTTAGGCTAGTCTCCGACAACCTAACTAGAGATTTTGTGAACTTTAAGTCTGGGAGCTGAACCAGAGTCCTGAGGTGAGATCCTTATGAACTGCATATTATAGTTGCTTCTGTCCTCAAACCCTATTAAAAGGGAATGTGCTGTTTGTTAGTGTGTGTTGGCTTCTTCTTGTCCTGGGCTGTTAAAGTGAACCTATTGCTAAGCCAACGAGGGGAAATTAAGGTGGGTCACGCTCACAGCACCACATGGGGCTGCGAGCAGTTGCCCACAGCTTTACAATATGGTATATAAATAAAATCAGAGGACAAATCAGATCAGAAATTAGAAGACATTATTTATATGTACACCCGCGCATATGTAATGTCATCCGGTTTCCAAACTCTTAGCAAGAGGCTAGCCCCTAACCCCTACCATTTTGATGTTGAAAATTTGGTCAACTGTAGACAGAAGCTGGAGCTGCTGTTCCACTTAATATGGGCAGTTCCCTCCTGCTACAGCTCCTATTGCACCTGCTTGGTGCTCTCTCGGCTGGCTCCCTCTCTCTCTCCCCCCGCCCCCTTTCACCTGGGATTTCCTGCTGTTTGCTCCCCCCAGCAGCAGTCTATTTCCCTCCTCTGCACTGAGTGGACAGCTCAGGTTTCCTAGGCCTAGGGGCCTCTGCACCCAAAATCTGCCAGCAGTGGCCTCTGGTGGCCCCAGCAGGAATTCCATCCACATCTAACTCAGCCTGAAATCGGAGGCCAAGAATAACTGATAACAATTAAGGGGAAATCACAGGACATACTAACAATTCACAAGAATTGGCAGCAGTGGGATTGGGATTCTGAAAAGACTTAGTGGGGGTTCCAGATGGGCAGAGGGATCTGCATATACTGGGCAGTTGCAGGCTCAGGCTGTTTAGGCACTTACCAGCTTAGTTTTACTCATGTGAGTAGTCTAACTTCACATAAATCAAGTTAAGCACATACATAAGTGCTTTCAGGATTGGGCCTTAGTCACTAATAACGGCTCATTTGCAGCAATGAATGTTTCACCATGACAAAACTGCTAGGGAGAGAATAGGTTTGAAGACATGTTCACAACTCTTTTCCAGAACAACTAGGATAACAATAATTTAAGTGAAAAAGGGGTGGTAGTTACTAAAAATACCAGCAAATAATATGTAAAAAGCATTGATTGAGAAATATTTTACAACAAAGATTATATTACTCTTAATTCACTAGAATGACAGACTTATACACCATTTTCATTTTAAACTTAATAGATAAATGGAAGATGCCTGGTCTAATGTGTAATGTTTCCTAAATTTATGCCCAGATCTCCATGTGGCAGCCTTACAGACATATCCCAGTTCCAAAAGTATAAGACAAGTCAAGGCCAGAGCCATTGTCCTAGTAGAATGTGATCTG